GGCCCAAGAAATCACGGATAGGGCGGAGAGCATCTTCAGGCGGCTCACTTTACCCTTGCGCATTCGCATTTAGGGAAACTTACGTTCCTGGTGTTCAAAGTCTGGATGCGGATCGATGCTGAAGTTGATCATTTCCAGCCGGCAGGCCCTGGCAGCGAGCCAGGATGGCTGAGAGTTCGTCAAAGTTTAGGCAAAGCAGACATAAAAGGCACCTTTGAAACTTGCATTTGCGAGCTGGCTAATTAGAACTGGCACTAAAAAGTAAATGCCTAACTGCTAATTACTGAATCCCTACAAGAAAGTAATGGCAGATGGGGAACCATGCAGTTAGCCACAGTTGTAGCCGGAGCCTGCTTTGTGCTGAGTTAAAACACGAAGCCCAGGGGTTTAAGGGCATTTAAGGGTCTGGGCTTTGTGTAGGAGCAAATGAGGAACACGGCAGCATGAACAACGAGGCAACTGCTGCCTCCCATGAGCGCAAGGGCAGGAGCCCTGTTGATCATAGGATTGACTTGTTCAAAGCCAAAAGCACGCCAGACTCCTAAAATTGCTGGGGAGCTTAAGAATTCCCAAGGCTGCGTAACCCAGTACATTTTGGGGGTCCTTTTCCCATTGCCTTCAAGGCCGCTGAGACCCAAGAATCTCGCATCGTCGGGCTTTTACTTGCAATGACGATTAAAATGGTTAAAAGACTATAATGGTTAAAAAGGCTTAAACACACACCTCCTTTTAAAATAAAGGGATGCCCCGATCAGGAGCTGAAGGAGATAACATGAACGTGTAGCACACGAGGTGATGGAGGTGGATGGGAAAGGTTTCCAGCCCCGGGGCACGGGCATCCCTCACCGCAGGCTGAGATTGCAAAGACGCGGCAGGTCTCTCTAATGTCCTCGGCAGAGCTCCCTTGGCTGGCTGGGCAGGAAAAATCCTGAAAACAAAAGACCTCTGAAGGTAATTTCTTGCCCAGGAACAGGCAAGGAGGACCATGGCTTGCAGGAGGAGTGGGGGTCCTGGTGAGTGGTCCCCAAGTCCCCTGGGCAGGGCAGGAGGCTCGGCACCATCCCCTCCCGCTGCATCCCGGTGCTGGCTCAGGCATCGACAGAAATATTTCCAGCCAGATGGTTAGTGATGGTTAGTGCTGGCTTCCTCTCCAGGTGGGCATTCAGACAGCCGAGGAAGGAGGTGGGAAGGAGATGAAAAGCCCAAATCCTCTGAAATAGCTTCTCCCTTCCCCTGAGGCGTAACCCCGGCTCTGCCAGCACCCAATTTAAGGATGTGTCCCTGCCTGCCTTCCTGAAACCCGAGCCATTCCCTCCTCGCCATGTCTCCTTAGAGGTCTTCCCTCTCTTCCTCCATCTCTCCTTCTTCTTCCTCTTCTTTCCCCCCCCTTCTCCTCCTCCCTCTCTTTCTCCTTTGCTTTCGGGATGATCTGCCCCAGGATGGGATGCAGGGCTGCCGTCCTGCCCTAAAGCTGTGACCCCGCTGACAGCAGCCACTTCCCAGCCCCAGAGGTGCAAAGAGATGCTGGAGCTGTTCGGTTGATGGATAAGATCCTTTTTCTCCTCCTTCTTTTTTTTTTTTTTTTAATTTACTAAGCAAAATCTCACCTAAAGAAAAAATTCCTGCCTTATCCCCATTACCTCTCTCCTGGGATAAGAGGGAATATTCATTTCAATAACTATTTTTTAAAAAGTTTAAACTAATTAGCCAGCTCTTTACTTCAAAAGAGAATATTTATTTTGGGGATTCAATATACTCATCTTTATACTGGAAAGAAATTACCAAACAGGTACGTGAATTTACGATGCTTTTTTTTAGGTCAGCACGGTAATTACAAATAATGATCTGACGGGGTGGTGGTGGCTGAAGGACCGTGATTTCTCATGAAGTTGCTCGAATAGTTGAAAAGTGGAGGAAGCGACAGCCAGAGAGCAGGGGGTCAGTCCAGCCGCCGCCACGGGGGACCAAAAGGGACCAAAAGGGACCAAAGGACCCGCGGGGTCTCGTGTTCAGGTGGGAAAAGGGAATTTTCACCGAGGGCAAAGAGGTGGTCGGGCACAGGGGTTCTGCTGTGCTGTCTGTTATTTGGGATGAAAGCAGGGACGTTCTGTGCCCCGCGTTAGAGCCCTGCTCCTACCCTGTAAGTTTTGCACCAGGCGCGGCGCCCAGCGCTCGTGCAGGATGGGGGCTGATACGAGGCTCGGCCAGGATGGGGGCTTATACGAGGCTCGCCGCGTCTGCATCGGGTGCGTGGTTGGGGTCTGTTTGACAGGAGAGCCAGGAGCTTTGAAAGACCTTAGTTTGAAGGTACTTTCAGAAACCTCCACCCAACAACCCTTTAACAGGGATGCCGTGCTTTGCTACAGTGCCACGATGGCTTATTATGGCTTAAAAGCAGTTTTTAATCTATAGGCATTCTTAAAGGGCTCCAACACCCCTGGGTGCAAGGAAAGGGGGTTCAGTTTGCAGCTAAACCTCGAACGTTGGGGTGAGGATGGGGAAGCAGGTGGAAAAGCACAGACAGAGAAGGAAAGTTGAGTTTTACCATTTTGGGGTCGGCCACGGCACAGCATCGCAGCGGTTAATGCCCACTGCCGCCCTGCCAGGGAGCAGGAACGTGCTGGCTCCGGCACAAAAGTGGCCCGCGATGACAATGTCCCTGAAAGCAGGACATGACGCGGGGGTTTGGCCGGAGCAGGGTGGCAGAGGGACCGTCTGTCAGCCCTGCCCCACCGGAGAGCGGGGAGGGCCAGCGGGACAAAAGGCGACATTATTCGGTGCAGCAGGAGGGATGAATGGAGTATTGAAAACCCCCATCTTAGAGAGTAGATTGATTTTCATCCCCCATCAGTGAGTGTGCCGTCTTCCTGCTGGCGGGTCTCCTCCGGCAGCTTGGTCAGCAGGAGCTCAGCGGTGAGAGCAGGGAGGTGTCACGGGGCCGTATCCCATCCACGGTGACTCCATCCTGCACCTCCGGCGCTGTGCCACCATCATCTCTTGCTGGTGCACACCAGAAGCCTTGCTCCACCATCATCTTTTTTTTTCTTGCTGGTGCACACAAGAAGCCTTGGTCCACCATCATCTCTTGCTGGTGCAGGCAACAAAGTGAAAGGCTTGGTCTGGAGGCTTGGGAGCCCACCCAACCTGTGGTCTTCAGGGACCAGGACTGGGTGGACGCTGCACCCGCACATGGTCCCACCTGGGAGCTCTTCCCACCCCGTGCCTCCACATCGGAAAACCAGGAGCAGCAAAAGGCTGGATGAGGGTTTCCATAGGGGGGTGTTTGGTCACTGATATGGTGGATTTCAACGTCCTTTCCCAAGTTTCTGACCACCAGTAGATGCCTCAAGCGGCAGCAGTCGGTGCCCATCCCTTCAGGAGATGTTGGGTCTCGTGTAGGCTGGAGGGACTAATTTTAGGGCTCCGCTTAGCTGAGACTTAGAGCCTGGCTTTAGAGCCAGCGTGTGAAAGCATCCTCACGATGGCACTCCTCCACCAGCACAGGCTGCTGTCCCAGTGCTCCTGTCAGGCCGGCGGCTGTGACTGCTGGGACGTGGGGCTGGGTTCCTAGAGGTGTAACGGAGAGCAGGATCAGCCCCCATCCCACTCCCCAACAGGGTGCGAGTGAAAGGGAGCTGGAAATCCACCACTTCGGCCGTTATTTCTGACGGGAGCAGTAAATGAAGGGGAAATGGCATCTTATGATATTTAATCTCCTGCTTGTTTTCTGCCTGACAATCCCCTGTTTGCTTTCCATCTTGTCCCCGTGGAGTTCGCATCTCCATCCCCCCGGTGACTGAGGTTGTCCTATCAGACCCCAGAAATTTCTGATTTCCCACAGAAATGCCTTTCCCTGCTTTTTCCCATGGGACGATGAAGACCGGAGACAACGAGGGCCTCTGGATAAAGCCCCCCCGGGAACGTGCCAGCCGAGGCGGGGAGGTCTCATGTTGGGTGGTTGGTGTGGAGGTCTTGGGGGACATGGGTGGCCAGGGATTAGAGCTCCCCAGGAGAGCTCTTGGGTGCATTAATTCATCATGGGATGATGAAGAAAGATGGGTGGAAGGCACCGGACGGGGTGTTTTGGTAGCTCAAGTGCTGTATATGACCACCTGCTGCCTGGTGGGACCCCACGGGGACCCCAGCACAGGCTGGGTGCTGGGAAGGGCCCCTGGGAGCAGGGAGGCTGTGTCACCGGTGGAGCGATCCCCTCTTCATGCAGGAGGAGGTGGGCATGGCCTCCAGGAGGAAAGCAGTGGAGGGACAGAGGCCAAGGCAAAGCAGAGGCTTGGCCAAGACCATGTCCAGGCTGGGCTTTGGCTGAGCGTTCATCACCAGCAGAGCCGGAGCCGCCTTGGAGGCGGGGGAACGGGAGGGGCAGCCTGGCTGGGGGCAAAGTGAAGCACCCTTCCTTTCCAAAGAGGTTTGGGTGACATGACTTGGTGGAGTACGAGGGCCACGCCGTGATTTAGGAAGTGCCTACAGGCTTGTGTGGATGGGGAGCTCCTTCCCAGTTCTGCCTGGATGTAATGTGTGACTCAGTTTACCCACGTGGGGTATGGGGTATAACGGTATATATGTGCTATGGGCTTGGCTTGTAACCTCACGTAGAAGTAACAGAAGGACAAGCTCCATGTGGAGGCACACAGGATGGTTCCCTGAACGTCCTGGGGACTGAAGACCCCGGGTGAGAGCTCAGCACCCGGGTGTCCTGGTGGGTCTGAGATCCGTCCTTCTGCCTGCACAGCAGCCCAGCCCTGAGGCTCTCGCTGCTTCCAGTTTTGTCTCCCAGGTGGGATGTGGCCTTGCAGCTTCCTCTTGGCACTCAAAAAAATATCTCTCGTTCTCAATAAATCCAACTTGAATTATTTTTCATGTGACTTCTGGTCACTGCTCCAGCAAGTGCCGAGGAGGGACTTGTTTGCAGGTCCTGCATGGCCCTTGGTGGGGCAAAGGCTCTCCTGGCCATCACCACTAACGCTGCTGTCTGCTCCTTTCAGGGACAAACTCCTCCGGACACCCGTCTGTGGGAGGACCCCGGCGCAGCAATGGCCCGCCCAGCCGGCACGGCTCGGGGAGGCCGGACATCGGGGTGCTGCCTCTCTCCCTGATGCCGGCCATGGTCCTCCTCCTCCTCGGCCCCACCGGTAAGCGCCTGTATGGTGCGGTGGGAAGGGGTAGTTTTACAGACGGACAATCTCCCTCCTGGCCTCAGATTTGTGGGCAGGAGATTTTCTTCATGGAGAGCCATGAGCAGGAATATCACACTGTCCCCAGCGGCGCTGGGCGTGCGCAGGGATGGAGGGAGCAAGTTCTGCTCTTGTGTCCCACCACGACCTTCGTGTGATGGGAAGGTCAGCATTCAGGGTTGGCAGGTACCAGCAATGGGGACGGGGCAGGTCCGAGCCCCAGCGCAGGCAGCATCGCTGCGAGGATGCTGATGGTCAAGGGATGGGAGCTGTGGGACCGATCCTGCCAAGGCGATGGGTAGGATGAGCACCCATCCCCTGAGGACACTGGTTCCCAGTCACTCCTGGCAGGCACTGTCCGGCCAGGCCGGGAAGCGTTTAAATCGAACTGGAAAAAGCCATTCTTGCTCTTGAACGCTGCAGCACCGTAATTATCCTGGTGTGACTTTATCAGCGTAATTACAGCCAGGCGGTTGGTAACACCTTCCTGCCTCAACAAAGCCCCGCCAAGACAAAGCCAGGCAGAAAGCAGGCAATTAAGGTGTAGTCAAACACCGTAATTCGATTAAATCGGGTTTTACAGCTCCTACCTCCTCAGCTGGAGCTTCCCGTCCCCCTCCCAAAGCTGCTGGTGGCAGCGCCTGCACCCACAGCCGGGGTGGGGGGACCCTGGGGGGACCCCCCAGTGGCTCTGCCGCTGTCCCCTGCACCCGTTCTCTTCATTAATGGGCACGGCGAAGTCGCTACCGAAGGGTGATTTGTCCTCCTATTTGGTGATTTTATTCAGCACTGTGCCCTGAAAGGGCTGGTGCTCACCCGAGCTAGTTTCCCCTTTTCTTTTGGCTTTGTGAAGCTGGATCAGAGAAAGGTGGAGAACTCTCTCTTTTCTCAAAAACCACTGGTTTCCTCTCGTTCCTCATTAATGTAGACACGCCAGGCATATTTTTTCAGGTCTCTCTTGACTTTGCTGGAGGATGTTCTCAAATTAATATTTCAGAGCTTTGATTTGGACTTAAAGGGAGATGAATATTGAATATTTAACGCTATCCTTTTAGTCCACTGCTTTTTCAGCACTGGAGCGGACTAGGTGTTAAAAATCAATACAAACCAGGCTCAACCTTTTTTCGCCTCACATCTCCACATTTTCGGCGCAGAGGTGATCTGAATTACCCCCCTCCTCTCACCCAGCCCACGGGGCTGCCGTGTCCTTCCCCGTCCTCCCCTTCAGCGAGCCAGCCCCTCTGCTCCCTTGGTCTTGCCTGGTTAAGCCCCAGTTCTTGCCAGCATCCCAGTATCATTTTCCAGCCTTGCCTGGATCCGGCTGGGCTGGCTGGGGAGGGCAGCCACCACCCCACC